CGGGTATTACTTAGACCTATTATTAAAAAGACTCCCTATGAACTTTGGAAAGGTAGAAAACCAAATATTTCCTATTTCAAAGTTTTTGGGTGTAAATGCTATATTTTGAATACCAAGGATCATTTAGGCAAATTTGAGCCTAAATCAAATGAAGGAATTTTCCTTGGTTATTCAACAAATAGTAGAGCCTATAGGGTATATAATAAATCAAATCATAAAGTAGAAGAATCTATGCATGTAAAATTTGATGAAACCGATCCCTTTGGGTCGAGTAAGGTAATTGCAGGTTCAAATGAAGAAGAAGAGGAAGAGGAAATCCTGGAAATTCCTGCGCAAGAAGAAGAAAGTGCAAAGAAGGAACTACCGAAGGCATACAAACACTTGAAGAATCATCCAAGAGACACTATCATTGGAGTTATTGAAAAGGGAGTTAGAACTAGGAACAATTACAATCTTTGTGCACACTATGCGTTCGTTAGTCAATTTGAACCTAAGAATGTAGAAGATGCACTAAAAGATAGTGATTGGATTATATCCATGCAACTAGAGCTTGAGCAATTTGAACGCAACAAGGTTTGGGAACTAGTCGAAAGACCGGAAACCCGACCCGTTGTGGGAACTAAATGGGTCTTTAGAAACAAGCTTGATGAAAATGGTGTTATTATCACTAATAAAAGTCGACTTGTTGCTAAAGGCTATAGCCAAGTTGAAGGACTTGACTATGATGAAACTTTTGCTCCGGTTGCTAGGCTTGAATCAATTCGTATGTTATTAGCTTTTGCAAGTGCTCTTAATTTCAACCTTTTTCAAATGGATGTTAAAAGCGCTTTTCTAAATGGATGGTTAAAAGAAGAAGTTTATGTTGAACAACCTCCCGGTTTTGAAAATCCTGATTTTCCAAATCATGTTTTTAAACTTCATAAGGCCCTTTATGGACTCAAACAAGCTCCTAGAGCTTGGTATGAGCGGCATACCGAACATCTAATCTCACATGGGTTTGCAAAAGGAAAGATCGATTCTACACGTTTTGTCAAAACAAAAGAAAGATCTCATAATTGTGCAAATTTATGTTGATGACATTATTTTTGGGTCAACCGATGAAGCTTTATGTAATGAATTTTCAGGAATTATGACAA